TTGTTGAAATGACGAAGTCAAAATGTTGAGGAAAAGTTTAAATCCCATTTTTAAAATTAAGTCAAAAATGTCCAAAAAATAAGTTCACATTTCCTGAAAGAGGTGCAAATTTCTAGATTACAACTGAATATTCAAGAAAAGTCTAAATATTGTTTCTAGAAGGCTCTTTAGACTAAAGTCAAGCCAGAGGAAGTGACTCCTATATTGCTCCTGAACCCTGCTGTATTCTTTTTGTTTTGTTCTGTTTTTTTTTGTATTTTTTTAAAATTGCAATTGCTTATTTTTGCTCATTTTACATATATTTTTAAACATTTTCTAAATGCTTTTTTATATAATTACATTTTTATTTTTGTTTTTGCAAAGCGCCTCGTGATTTTTATCTTGAGAGGCGCGCTATAGAAATGATATTATTTTCTTCTTCTTCTATTCATTAAGGTTCCGTTTTTGATCAGGGTCGTTTCCTAGCAGTCTCCATCCTCACTTCATTGTGCTCATTCAGATTAATAATCCAAAGAGATTTGCTTAAGAATGGGGAGATTTGAGTTTAATGAGGCAGATTGTAATTAGATGGAAGAAGTTCAATAATTTTATACCCAGCATTGATTCAGCTCTTACAACAAAATTCTAATTATTACTGCAGCATGTAGCAGCCATACTTTCTCATGATGAGATGAACAATAAAGTTTCATAGATATTTAGTACACTAGTGCTGCAGGGACCCCTTGTGGTTAAGTACTGCAATGACAGAAAAAAATTATGTTTTTATTTAGTAGCTCCTAAAATAATATATACCGTAAATCCTCTAATACAGGCCGGTATTCAATTAAAGGTCGGGTCTCCAATTCTGGCCGGTGTCTGAGCCAGCGGAGCTAAATAATGGCCGGTCTCTTATTGTGGCCGGATGGCATGTGGTAACAAGCAAGTACGAGCGTCCCAGCGGCAGGGTTATAGTCCCCAAATCAACCAGCAGGAGGCAGTAGAGGTTCATGCAAACCTATTTTAGGCCTTTTCTTCAACGCTTTGTAACGCTACAGACACGATCCTCTATCACGCTCCTACCACACAGAGTCACGGTGTCAGTTAACCATGCTAATTCAACCCGCTCCACAGAACACACATCACCTTCCCTGTGGCTTACATAACACTCACACAACACGCAAATCAACACATAGGAACTAGCAGAACGATAGGAAACACATATAACACAATACCCAGAAGGCTTACAACCCCAGCCAGGTCATTACACTATCAACTTCAAAGAGAACGTGCTGATTGTGCTGCAGAACACTCTGGAGAGCAGCAGTAGGGGTTGTATGAACTACAGCAATCCCTCCGCGGTAGATGCGTTCCAGACCTGGCCGCTATAGGTGAAAATCCGCGAAGTAGGGACTCCCAGCATGCCCCTCGCAGGGATTCCCTTCACGTCGCACCTACGTCACAAACCGCGGCTATAAACGGAAGTCGCCTTTCCAGCTCACCACTCAGTCATCGTTTCTTCAGATTCACGATCAGAGTTTCCAACCTACCGATCAATCCAACGAACTATCAGCTCATAGTAAGTTATCTTACTTACTTCTGGAAAGCCCGGCATTTCCGTGTCACTTCGTTGACACTCGAATGCTCGGGGGTTTCCTAGAGCACCGACGCTATCACTTCCGCGTCTGTGAAACCACGCTCCCTATTGAATTATCGTATGATCACATTCTCTTTTTGGGGGTAAAACTCAAGTGCCAGACCGTAGGTACTGACACGCGATCGTTCATGTCGGTTCATTTCCTTTAATGTTTTCTGTCTTTTATTTGCGCCTGATGTGTATCGCTGCTGTGGAGCGGGGCGCATCAACTTGTCCTCCGACGCACTGATCACAGCAGGGAGCGCTCAGCTGTTTTCGCGGTCGGTAGATCTGCCTCCTGAGCACGGCCACAGTAACAATCAGGTGTCGCCACCTCAAAAACTAATTTAACACGCGATCGTTCATGTCAGTTCATTTCCTTTAATGTTTTCTGTCTTTTATTTGCGCCTGATGTGTTTCGCTGCATGCTGTGGAGCGGGACGCTGCGGGCATCACCTTGTCCTCCGACGCACTGATCACTGATACAGCCGCCAAATAGCGAGCGCTCCGCTGTTTTTGCGGTCGGTAGATCTTTTAGAACTGCAGTTCAAAGGTAACTCATAAGGTGAATATATATGAACCCAGGTAGCAGTTTCTCTTTAGGATTGAGAGGAGATGCAGGAAGATAATAAACAGACAGGACAGAAAAATAGTCAAATAAAAACAAGTTAGTTTTTGTACCTGCTGTTGCAACAAACAGACACCATTGAAGGTAATCAGAAGTGAGGAACAGAAAATGAAATAATTATTTTAATGTTTAGAGCAGCAGGAACTCCAAGAGGCTGCAGGCGCATCAGTGAGTTTGCGGCCACTGCGCAGGGGGAGGGGGGAGAGGGCTGAAGCAGGAACTACCGTTGTTAAAAGAAATGTGTTTAACTTTGAAAATGTGGGCGCAATTTTAATTGTCAAAAACTCCAGCGAACCATCAGTTCATTTTGCTCAAATAGAAATAGAGGCCTGCCTCTAATACTGGCCCTCCTTCCAATAAAGGCCTGGAGCTTGATGAGCTTGAGTCAAATACAGGCCCGGGCCTGTATTAGAGGATTTACGGTAATAATAACAACAACCTATAAAATAAACAAATTGAGATAGTTGTAATTTTAGATCTAACAATAAAAAGTAACATAAATAAGCAAATATGATTATGTCCATTTGTCACATTCTGGTAAAATGAGTAAAATTTGATTTTTTTTTAATTTCAAATCCAAAAATATAAAGTAAAAAATATAAAAAATTTGTCATGCAAACGTGTAAAAAACTCCAAAAACTCAGTACATTTGTACCTTGGGGTAAATAAAAATAACCCATTTTTTCATTTTTTTAAATAGAATTAAAAAGAATGTTGTGCAAAAAAGTTGAACATAAAAAATAGATAAAGAATTTGAGCAAGCAGAATCTTCACATTACTTCATAGGAATACATTAGTTTTAAATGTTTAGGACATTTTTAGGATTTTTGTCCCTTTCCAGCTTTATTTTACATCGAAGGTAGAGCCTTCTTCCAGTTCTCGGAGGGTGCAGACGCGTTTTTCCTCCTCTCCTCCATATCTTATCCTCAAGGCCCTTTGTCTGTGTGCTAGGTGCACGGCTGCTTCTGCATTTTTTTCTGGAAACTGAAATCACTAAAATGGACCTCATCAGTTGGTCACTCAACGCGATTGATTAAATTTTTTCAACGATGAGAACGGGAGAGGGGGCTCCCGGATGCCCCTCCGGGACAGACCCAGTTGGACACATCATGGCTCCTGGAAACAGTGGAACTTGATTTGTTTATCTCAGCTGTCTGTGGAGGACTCTGAAGACGTGTGGATATTCATGGTGTTGGTGTCAGGTTTCCTGCTCATTGGCCTTGAAGGCTTCCTGACTTACCAGAAAATTAACGAGCTGTCGAGGAATATTGGCCTGATCCCGGAGCTCAGAGATGGATTGCACCGCGCTGTGAATTCAGACTCACATAATTGTCGAGATGAATCGTAAGCTTGGAACTTTGGCCGGGATTCATTCATTAGCACAAAAGATGGATGCCATCAAGGATAGAGTGGACGAATCAGCACGGATTGGGAAAGATTAATGCCCATTATTGGGATTTTGAGAGGTTGAGGACCAAGGAACTTCAAGACAGAGAGGAAATTATCTCTGTCTGGCCCCAAAACAATTTCTAATTGGAATCTGGTGCCCTTGAGCCTGCAAGGCTCCAACGAAAACTCCCCTCTCAGAAGATATGTGGACTGTGCCGTCGCTATGGCAACTCAACTCTGTCTCCTATCCCAGCCTGGGCGGGACTGCGGGAAGGCCGCTGAATCGTTTCAGGGTCACTGCAACCCTCCAACCCTCAATGCTCCTCCCCCGTTCAGACTGAGGTGACGTGCTGCTTGTACTGGCTGCAGGAACCGAAGTGTGGAGAGTCCCAAACACACCAACCCACCTAGTGGACACTTATGTTGTGTGATGTCTGAAGTTTGTTGCAGATCTGTTGAGATGTTTTTTGCAGAGCAAAGCTGCCCTCCCGGTGGAGGGTAACTCTGAAGTGCCTTTTTTTCCCTCCACCTGAACCAATCCTCATGTGACCCTCTGATCTCTATTAAGGTAGCGCGACTCAGGGTTGCGAATGACCACAGTCACCAATTCTTGTCATGTGTCTTGCCCATGTATGTCTGATCTCTGAATTGTGAGTACTGAAACTATAATTTCCCTCTGGGATCAATAAAGTATCTTTGAATTTGAATTTTCAAATTTCCAAACATTGGATTTGAGTTTATCTTTAAGAATATGCTTCTCATTTAACTAGCATTTAATTTTAATGACATAAATTTTTCTTTCAAATTAGAATTTTTTAAAAGCTAAATTATATATTTGAATATAACAATTCAGCCCAATATTTCTGACTGTACTGATGGTTTTGCCTCAGTGTTGATGTTAGAAGAGCATTTTTAATTGTAATGACATGCTAAAGTTTGAAAACACTGGTGTGTGTGTGTGTGTGTGTGTGTGTGTGTGTGTGTGTGTGTGTGTGTGTGTGTGTGTGTGTGTGTGTGTGTGTGTGTGTGTGTGTGTGTGTGTGTGTGTGTGAGGTTAGTATCGTAACAGAGCTGTGAGGGGTCAGCAGGAGGATGAAAGCCTCCAGAGCTCAGCCCTCTGGTCGTCCCTGTATAAAATTACAAACTGAATTATTGCTAATGAGAACATTTAGGTGCCATTTTAAAGTTTTTACCTTCTTTGTTAAGTCCTTTAATTTGAGCTGTAGGGATTTAGGCTGGAAATGCTGACAAAGGTGCTTCATTCATACCTTTAAGTGTTCTGGTGAAGCTCTATGTAGCTCATGCAGGATTTTACAGCGTTTTGTGTCTAAACTGACCCAGTTCAAACCAAAATAAACACGTAAAGCTCACCTTCTTCGTACTGTTCGTCTTGGACGTAGGCCTCCGCCCGGTCCTTTAGCACGTTTACATTCTCAGGATCAGAATCGAGGACTTTGCTACACGCCAGGACGGCTCTGTTTGCCTGCTGGTCCTAATCGTGACATGAAAACATCTTGGATAAATCTTCTCAGAAAGTTTCCAGAGTAGTGTTTTGCAGCAGCAGTAAATAGTTTTACCTGTGTGAGTGCGTGGCAGATCCGCTCCATGGCGAGGAGGGAGAACTGGGGCACGTTGGGCTCGGTCTTCATCACTGACTGGTACTTACTCACCGCTTCCTCGTATCTACAGGGAACGGAGTGAGTAGGTGTTTATTCCACCCACAAACATCTGACTGCTCTTGTGTCCTCTGTTTATTATTTTGAATATCAGACATCATACATGTCAGATATGATTGGTATGGCTGTCTGTCAACCCAAAAACACTCGTTCTACCGCTGATGCAACCTCTGGTATACAGATTTCATTTGTTGCAAAAGGAAAATTTCCTAAAACACATTTGTGCTTCAACCAATTTAAACGGTGAAGATGGTCTGAAACAAATTCTTTAAAGGGCAACTTTACACATATTTAATACATTTGCAGTGGTCTCTAGTAGGACTGAAAGCCATGTAAGTCGTTCTCTGGGGTAAAAAAGCTCCGGTGCACCAGTCTGAGGACGTAGAAGTCAGCCAGAGGAGAAAGTGGAAAAACATGAGGATTTGGAGTCTTATTTCCTGATATTGAGATATCTTTCCTCTGATTGGCTAACAGCGATGCGACCACTGACTGTTTGCTCTGCAATGTTGATGCTTTATCTCTACAAATAACACAAGCCTGGAAGAGTTCTGTTGTGTGGAGTTGCTAATGCTAACCGTTAGCTTTTACTAGTCTGCTGTTCCTGGACGCTAAACCAACAACAGCCTCCCCCCATCATGAGTCAAGATGGGTGAGTCCATGAATGTTAAGTGACAGTGTGATGTAGAACTGTCTGAGTTTCACCATCTATTCTCCATCAGCAGATAAAAATAAGGTTTTGCAAACAAATGAAAACTAAACTGAAACAGTAACGAACACTTTAAAAAAACTAAAGCTAGCTGCATCTAAAGAGAACATGTGCCGTTTATGTTTACATTAGTATGAACTCCAGTTTTGAGTTTGGTTTTATTTTCTCGCTGTAGAGCATTAAGCTAGCAGACAACTGATCCGCATTTCTGGTGTTGTGAAAAAGTAGGTATCCCAGACAGAATGAGTTCCCCCGTGTCGGGAGTGGTGTGTTTTAGTCTCCAGCAGACCGAACTTTTGATAAAGTGCAACAATCAGAGCAAACAGTGAAACACCCTCCCCCTGAACTGTTAAAGCCTCTTAACACACCTCTTCTCCTGGATGAGCTCCTCTGCAGCTTGGATCTGTTTGTTGAGCTTCTTGACCTGCTTGTAATGGCTGTAACACTGTTTGTGATCAGGATCCAGCTTCAGGCACTCACGCACCTCACTGCAGGTCACAGGGGGGTGAAAACTCATGTTTCATCAGCATATATGATGGAACGTCAACAACAGGACTTGTAGTGGAGAAAAGAACTTTGAGTGCTGAGGAGAGTTAAGGTCATGAAACTGTAGTTAGCATTAAAGATAAATAATTAGCACAAAACATTTTCTAGCTGTTTCAAAGGTAATCTGACTCTAGATTACCACCAACTGTAGGTCATGTATGCTGTGATCGTTAGGGCTGTCACGGTTGAGGAATTCCCCCTGCGGTGATTCAGGGTGGCTTAATATTGCGGTGTGCGATATTATTGCAGACCTTTTTTATTGCAGTACTATCTAAACATAATGTTTACACATTCAAAAAAGGTTAAAAATTGCCGTGCCTTCTTTTATAACACTTTACTGAATGCAGATCAAAGGGCAGTAACAACACAGATCGCTGTAACGTTTGTTTCTCCGACAGTCAGAGTCCGACTGAACTTAAAAACAACAAAATTCAGGAGAAGGTTAAACTTTTAAATGCAAATTTGGCTGCAGCATCTAACAAATAAGAAACAAGTCCCCATTTTGTTTAGTTGTTTAAAATCAAGCATAAAAATTACATGTACCGGGCGCGCGCGCGCCGGGGGGCGGGCGCACTATCATTTCACTTTCACACACACGAATGACGGTGATTTATAGCTCGGTCACGTCCTTGTTACCTACAAGGAAAACCAGCATGTTAACTACGGTTTGAGAGAGGATCTGAGAGGGGTGGCAACATTTGCAGCAACACTGAAAACCCTCTCGGATGGTGCGCTCGTTGCACTAACTCACACGTACTTGCGTGCGACTCTGGCGAGCAAAGGGAATCTCTCCCGGTTGTTGCTCCACCATGTCAGGGGGGTTCTTTAGGGTGGATGCATTCCTCCTGCAGGTAGCGAGTGAGCTCCAGCTCGGCTCAAACTCTCTTCGGGACGGCTGCAGAAGCAGTGCTTGTCCGGGACTTCAGCAGGTCTCCGAGCATTTATTTATTTATTTTTGCCGCTGGTGGCAGCTCTGTCTCGGCCAAGGACTCTGGCTGCGCAGCAGCTGACATACTGAACACCAAAGTGCTCCCACAGGAGCGAAGTAACGTTTCGTTTTGAAACCAGTGCAGCCATCCTTCTCAACATGCATCATTGAGTTGAACCAAGTTCAGTAATCGCGGTGGCGCATGATGCAGCGCGGTGGGCTTCTTCATATCGCGATATTTCATTTTTGCGGTTACCGTGACAGCCCTAGTGATCGTCACTTAAAAGAAAATGACCGATCTTACTTGAGTGACATCTCGTGGTCTCCCAGCTGATAGTAGATGGTGCTGAGCTTGTAGAACGCCTGCGTGTTGTCGTTCCTTAACTTGGATGCAGCTTTGAGGTCGCTGATGGCCTTCCCCATCTCTCCGACCTGAATAAAGCACTCTGCTCTCATCTCACGAGACGTCACGTCCCACACGCAGGTCTGCAGCAGGTGGAGGAGTCCTTCATTACATGCATCCACCAGGCTGCGTTTTATCAGGGGTGTGTTTTACCTCGATGACGGCGTCGAGCTGGGAGGCGGCCGTCATGTAATCCTTGCTGCTGTAGCTGCGGCGCGCCTCGGCCACCAGACGCTGAATCTCATCTGCCTTTGTTAGTTGATCTCGAGCGTCTTTTTCTTCTTTGTCGGTGGGGTTAGACTTGAGCTGGCAAGTGTCAGAAACAAAACATTGAAACTAAGGGATAAAACACAGAATACCAAATGTAGATTGCAGATTTAAGTCCTGAGAGCCATCATAGAGCTGATTCTGTCTCCTCACAGCTGGCTCATTTATGACCAGCCTGCCTTACTTTGCAATCATTCTCCTCATTGAGGTCATCATATTTACAAGAGCAATCTCAGCTAATGACATCTTATCATTTAGGAGGTTCCTGCTAGCTCATTCAGCTAACGTGGGAGCCAGATCAAAGCAGGATGAGGTTGTACCATTTTATAAAGTACCAACCTTAATCCACAACTAGACTTAGGATCTTGTGGTGATAAAATGACACCTCAGCTTCAAGCTAAGGCTATCTGCCCGTACCATAACAGCGGACAGTCACATCAGGGCCATTACACGATCTCCCTGATGTTTCTACTTAAATGAGAAGCAATTTTAATTGATCTGCATTAGATTGTGCAAAAATGAGAATACGGATGTGTTCAGAATGCAGATAAAAGCCAAATATTTCTTTAATCTAATCCATAAAACAGATTAACAAAATGTAATCTACGGTGAGCACATCAGCTCTTCGTGTGCTGATATCAGACCTGATCATGCAGCTGTGTGTGTACACACAACCCTCCACAAACGCATCAGCACAACCAGTTTTACGTCATTTGAAGGACTTTTGTAAATATTTTGGCTTTTTAGAAATGAGAAATGTTTCAAGGGCTAAATGGTAAATGGCTTTTACTTGTATAGCGCCTTCTTTTACAACCCCCCAAGGCACTTTACAACACAGTCATTCACCCATTCACCCATACACATGCTGGTGGGGATGAGCTACGATGTAGTTCCAGCTGCCCTAGGGCGCACTGACAGAGGTGAGGCCTGCCAAACACTGGCCCCACCAGTCCCTCTGACCACCACCTGCAGGCAAGGCAGGTGGTGGTCAGGAGCTGGGATTGAACCCGCAACCTTCTGATTACTGGACAATCTGCTCTACCTCCTGAGCTACTGCTGTCTAAGAGCAGATTATAAACTATCAGGTGGTGTTTTAGGGGGGAGGTCATAAAAATGGCAATCCAACATTTAGCCCAGCATGGTTACCACAGCAACAGACAAACTTTTTTTTTAATTAACTCATTCACTGCCATCGACAACTTAAGTCGTCATTTGCATTTTTACAGTTTGAGCATCGCAACGAGCCCCCGCGTCGAGAACAAACATTTCAGCTCTGAAGCCGATCTTCATCCACATACGTCACACGTCACATGATCAGGAAGCAGAAAATCCATGTGTTAAATCGTTTTGGGCCGTTCCTGTAAAAGAAAAAAGTGAGGCACGAACCGGAAAAGCGTCTGCCGATCACAATTCGACAACGGATTATGAAAGAACAGATAACGCTCAAAACACGCAGATTCTTCCTGATGTAAGAGGTGAGTCTCCGCTTTGTTTTGGGTGTTTTGGCATCGACATCATCCTAGCGCGCAACGTTCTGTGGCTCTTAAAAAAAACTGTGAGAAACGCTGGCAGCGAAGGCCGTTAGCGATCAGGAAACAGCTGGCAGTGAATGAGTTAAATAGATTTTTTATTCATGTTTTTTTTTCAATCTTAATCTTTATTTCATCTTTTATAAATATCTTATTTTATCATCAATATTTTTAAGCATTTTCTTTCTGCTTGTTAAGCAAATTGTGTTTTTATATTTACAGAGAGGGGAAAAATAAATGATAAATGACCCACACTTGTATAGCGCCTCTCAGAGTAAGGACTCCGAAGAGCTTTACACTACAGTGTATCATTTATCCAGTCACACACACATTCACACACTGATGGTGATGAGCTACAATGGAGCTACAGCTGCCCTGGGGCGCACTGACAGGGGCGAGGCGAGGCTGCCGAGCACAAGCGCCGCCGGACCCTCCGACCACCACCAGCAGGCAAGGTGGGTTAAGTGTCTTGCACAAGGACACAACAGCAGAATTCTCTGTCCGGAGCCGGGATCGAACCTGCAACCTTCCGATTACTGGACAACCCGCTCAACCTGCTGCTGCCCCAAATATTCAGTGACAGATTCATTTCTATTTAAGCAAATGTTTGTCTCCAGTTTATAATTTATAATCCATCTTTTGACCATCTTGAGAGAAGCTGCAGGAAAAATTAACCACTTTGATGTTTGAGATCAACATGCAGGAAAGTATTTAACAGAATAAAGGGGCGACACTGACACCTAGTGGTGAACACAGACTAGTACTTACCACCCTCTTGAAGTCACTCTCTGCTTCATCCAGCTTTCCTTGTTTCAGGAGCAGGTTTCCCCTCTGAAGACGAGCCTTGAGAGAGAGAAAAAAATGAGCTTAATTTACATACTGATGCAAATATTGAGAGATTACCCAGCACAGCGGTGTCTGCAGCTGAAACTAGAAATCATATGCAAGTATGCACAGCAAGCTGTCACAGATATAAAGCATTTGTCGCACATTCTTGTCAGATTTCTAAAGAACAGAAAGCATCTCACAGATGTGAAGTCTGGTTTCAGCTCAATCACTCTGCTCAGGTCTGGCAGGGCGGATTTCGACTTTCCCATGGCGAGAAACACTGTAGCCCTTCTGTAGAAAGCCAGGTAGTTCTTGGGATCTCCATCTGACACAATTCCAAAGATAATGTGACTACACAGTTTTTTAAACGAGGTTTTCTGGTGTGAATATTGAGTTAAGCATCACGGTTACTCACCCACAGCAGCATGGAAGTGAGAGAGGGCATCAGCCAGCTGGCCAGCAGCAAGCAACTTCTTCCCCATCTCCATGTGGTTGTCCACACTTCCATCTTTACCACATTTCACTCCTAGAAAAATAAAACATTTTCAGTACTGTGCAAAAGTCTTGCGTCATCTGTCAATTATTGATTTTTTTGCTGCAACCATCGGCTGCAACAAGCACACATTCTTAGGGAATTTCAAACGTCCTAAAGTTTCATTTTAGTTACTTTAACTTAACATTCCCTACTTTCTCCGCCACTCCTTTTCATGAAATCAGAAAGCGACGACTAGTTTTTCTTGATATGCCACTTCTCACCCATAAAGCATGCAGGCATAAAATAGCTCTTTGCACAAATGAACATCAACAATTTGGGCAAAAGCAGTATTGGGTTTGATTCATTTGGCACTTTGTTATGCCACAAATGTACAACTGGTTCTTATTTCTTTAGATTAATCTAAATAACTGACAGAAATGACTGGGTAGCACATAAAATAGTATTTTAGCACCAACTGTAGCTGAAAACTTCTCTTATTGCCTCCCAGACCCTGGGTTAAACTATAGATGGAAGTTTTCTGCCTTTTTTTAAAGACATAACTTCCAAATGTTTTAACATCTGCTGTTATTGTTTTAGACAACTTAGAAAGGCTACTTTATTAGCTAGCTTAGCTTCAGGCAGCAGAGCTAGTAAATTAGCAAGCTAACGCTGTCATAGTCAAAGCCCACTTTGACCCAAACTAGTTGTCTAAATGCTTCATGTTAAAGTTCGTGGCATCATTAAACACCCCGTCAGTATCTACTGAAAACATAGATGATAACAGCTAGCTACTTAGCATCTTACCTTCATAGCGCATGTCAATCAAAACAAGAACATATGGGATGTAAGTCACTATCTTGTGGGTGACATGATCGAGGGACACCATGGCGGTTGGATTACAGTCCTCTCTCGTTGAGTCAGTCGGTGTTTTAGCTAATGTTTTCCCTCGGCTGTCACCAGTCCCATGCGGTCTCAGCTGGGCATCGCTTTTCCCCCAGCAGCCACAACCAGGCAGAAACTCTCCACTGTCCGGTCGTGGGGGGCGCTGATTGGCTGGTTCGTGCTTATGCCCCGCCCCCATCAGCTTGCTCAACGGAGAGCAGCCACGGCAGCACATTGATGCCATGCACGCGCTTTGAGCGCGCGCTAGGATGTTAAAATAAGAGTGGAGAATATAGTTTTTTTTTATTAAAATAACACATTTAGCCGCACTCACATATTTAATTTGTGTCATTATAAAATTTGCTTATATTTTTCATGTTTCCTTCAACAACTAGATCAGAAAGAGAACATCAAACTTAGAACGTGTGTTTTTGCACATCAAAAAAAATTTTTGTGAAAAATAATTTTATTATTAACCCGTCAGAACAACAAATAATTTGCATGTGAAATTTGCTTCAATAAATCACTGGAAATATGTGTATATTTTAAATGTTTATATATACAAAAATTGATTAACAAATATTGTAGAAATCCTGATCAATCTCCAAGAGTCCTTCAAATGAATGAAGATCAAAAGGTTTGAATTTAAGTTTAACATCTGCACCAATAAACATGTCTTTAAGGGTTTTTACAACAGTGCAATTGGTTAAATTTCACAGCTCAAACATGGTCTTCTCTTTTCCTCAGATGAAGACGAGTCATACGTAGGCGTGGCTGCCTGTCACTTTGGTGGTGCTGGAGATGGCAGAGATGCTGCTGGCTCTGCTTTCACTGGAGCTCTTTGATTTCTCTGTGGTCTCTGTGCGAGCCGATGACACGTAGCTCACCCTCGATGGAACAAACGTGTAGCCGGGGAACTGGCTGGGTGAGAATCTCTCTGGGCTGCTTAGGGAGTTAAAATCAAGCAGTTATTTATTTACATAGACAAATGCTGGAAAAGCTCATTCAATTTGCACAACTTTACCCTGAGCTGCAAGCTTCTCTCCCTGCTAAGATGCTGTAAATAAGACCTCCGACAATAAGTAGAGTCGACCCGCCCCAGCCGATGAAAACTCCAACACCGATTTCAAACCTTAGAGGCACATGAACAGTTTAAATGCTGTTCGTCATGCACAAGAAGATAAATTAAGCAGTTAATGCACCGTACACACTTCTGAGCAACGTAGGTGGGGTCTTCAAACTCTGATCTGATTTTATTTCCATAATAGCAAAAAGCAACCATGGCACACATCCCTGAAACAACACACACACATTAATGACCCAGCAAAGCCACCTCCTTCTACAAACTCTATTCCTTACCCCCCATAAGGTAGTTCATCCCTCCAGCAAAGGTCACTTTTGCATTAGTAATCTCTGACCCGCCGATCTTGGTGCACTTCATCCCCACTAAAACCAGAATGGAGCCAAAGAAAGCCAGGACAATGCCGGTGATGATGAGAGCTCGACACATGTGGATGTCCCCTGTTACGAGCAGAAAGGCTCTGAAGATCAAAGGGTCACATTTACGTGTTTAATTCTTGTTTTACTTTTTACTCACAGTTCAGTGCCATCAGCGATGGAATCCCTTTGCAGTCCGACACTCCCGTTGAGTCAGAAACACAGTCCTTCCACAGGTTGGAGTAGTAGTTCGCCGTCGTCACGACAAGCCCGCTAACCTCCGACCAGGTCCAGATCTCGGTCGGCATCGTGGAACAAACAAGGATCCATCCAGCTACACAGACCACGAAGCAGCCGATCTCCACGTACATCACCACAGTCCGGTGGCCCATGTTGTCCTTGAGGTCCAAGACCGAAAACTGAAAAATTCAAAGCTGCTGAAAGGAAAACGTCTTTTTCTGCTACTGGAAGAACCCAGTGAACCACACACCTCAGTTTGTGTACATCACCACATGTTTTGCCTTGAACTGACTTTTCCTGTGTTGTGTAAAGATCGCCTGAAGTAATGTTTCCATGTTGATACCAGGAGCCTTCCAAAATGACTTCATTTCTGTTTCTGTGATTAACTTTTTTCTAATAAAATCAATAAACAATCAGTGACTGGTGTAAATTGTATTTTTATTGTACTCAAAGAAGTTTACAGATGATGTTTGACCTTTATTTCTGTAAGAAAAACTAAATGGGATGAACAACACAAGAACTTTATGATCAATGAATGACAAAATCATTTATTATCATCATTATTATCATTATTATTATTTAGTCATAAGAATCTGCTGCTATTAAAGAGTTTCTAGTGATATTTTTAAATAAAAGTTAAAGCTTTTGTTAAAATGAATACAAGTAAACACAGGACAGCATCATTTACAGCAAGAAAGGAAATGTAACATAAAATGAAAAAATAATCCATTTATCTACAAGTAATCCAGACCATCTGATATTACTTTTGATTAGTCATTTTACCTGTTTAGTTAAACAAATCGTTGTTTTAAAATACAAGCACTGCATGCCGTCTCCCTCTGTTTGTCATTGCCCTTGAGTCAGGCTGTAACAGAAATTAACCCACACGCAGAAAAAAAGTTAAATACCTACATCAAACAGAGGAGAAGGCCTCAGGTTTCACTTTTCCAGTTAAACCAAAACACTTTGAGTCTAAGTCGCACTCTCCTGCATCTGATCAAAACAATCACAAACACAATAGATCTTAATGACATTGAGTTTTTGGGATAGGGAGGAGGGGTATTCATATGTAGTTTCAGCTCATTAAGGAACAACAGACAGCTACACTTTATAAGCTTGACTCTCCCATATTCCTGTCAGAATTGACAAAGCTCCTTGAATAAGAAGCGAAATGTCTTCAAGAAACCAAAGAAGCCCAGTTGCCTTCATTGAAACCCTTTTGGGTTACCATGGCCTGGATGAGTGAGAACCTTCATCAGCATGCACACACAGAAAACAAACCAGATGGGAGGTTTTCCCTCAAGTTCAAAAATACTTTATTAATCCCAGAGGGAAATAAATTTTTGTCAGAACTCATAAAAGCAATTATAAAAATAAAGAGTTATATAATGATCTCAGTATAATCTTCAAATAATCGTTAAAGATGTAGAATTTCTCAAAGAAAAAAATTCCAGATGGAAATTTCTATTTTTCAGGCATCCATACATTTGGAGTCCTCGATAGGCTTGGGTTCTGAGCCAAGTGAGGTTCTAGTAAGGTTATGGGATCTGCTTCCTATGTGCGTTTTCTTCTCGGAATAGTTGTTACTTGTACATCCTTAATCCCCAAAATTTAATTTGTTTAATTGGTTCAATCCCCAAAGTGATGAACTTCTTCACATCTTCTAAAAGACGTTTAACCACATTTTGTTGCAAATACAATCATCAACAAGATTTTTATTTAATTATTTTATTTTGGAGAGTGAGTGAAATAACAGTTGTTTTAATGTAAAACTACTGTATTTAATTCAATATCCATCTTACACCCAATAGTTTCCCACAGTCTTGTAGAATTTCTTTGTGACAGAAGCTTGACCCTACACAAACGCATCTCTCTCGGAGATTTTTGCCGGGGTTTTCTGGGAAAGCCTTGAGATCTTGCTGTTTGGGCGCCCCGAGCCCACATAAGAGCCATTTAGTCTGGAGGGGGCGTAGTATCCGGTGAATTCTGTGGGTGCAGGAGGCATGAATGTCCCTCCGTTGTTGACCTGTGCTGCTGTCCTGAAAAAATAAAATCATTGTCAGATTTAATGTTGTTGTATGAACAATATTATGCAAGAAATTGGACAGAGTGCATCCGGAAAGTATTGCATCACATTTTCCTTATTTTCTTTTGTTACAGCTTTATTTAAGATTGAATTCATTTTTCCCTTCAAAATTCTACACAACACCCAAAAATTATATATATATACACATATATATATATATATACACATATATATATATATATACACATATATATATATATATATATATATACACACATATATATATATATATATATATATATATATATATATACATATATATATATACATACATATATATATATATATATATACATATATATATATACACATATATATATATATATACACACATATATATATATATATATATATATATATATATATATATATATATATATATATATATATATATATATATATTAGAATTTCACTAATTAATTTAAAGAGTTGAAAAACTGGTAAAGGCCAAGCTAAAGATGGACAAAGCAACGTTTCATTTAGCCAGCGGGAAAGGTCCTATGTCGCAGAATGGCCAAAGAGCATCCAAACATGGATGAAAAGGTCTTTTGACCAAAGTTGGGTGGTATGTGAATAGTAGTGACACAAATAATTATGTAGAAGTAAAAAGAAGAGCTTAGAAAAAATGTTACTTGAGCACTGTGAGTAATGGATAACTGAGCATAAAAGTAAAAATGTGTTTGTCAATTTTTCTTAATCTACGTCCAAGCTCTCTGTTATGATTTTTTAAATTGGCAAATGCAGTTTGTTTGTCTAGCATTAGCACCCAGCAGCAACGCTGATGGAGTCCACCAGAGCAAAAATCAATTTGGAAAGAAACACACCTGAGTCCTAAGATATCGTATTCAAAAATACTTGCTGCCTAAAGTGCATGACCAAAGGACTGTAGCAAAGGTTAGAAATACTTATGTACACGTGATTTCTCAAAATTTGGTTTGTAATAAATTTGTAAAAATCTCAGACTTTTTCCTCATGTTCAGTGGCACCTCCAGAAAAGTTCAGGGGTGGCCAGATGGGCAGAGAAAACTTTGGGGTGACACACCAACTTGATCCATGTGGTCACTTGGGGAAAGTTTAGCCCATAGTGTCAGAATAAATGTTCCATTCATTCATTTTCATTAAAAAAACAAAACAAAACAAAACAAAAATACATCACATTTAAGAAACACAAAGACTTTAGCAAAAGTCAGTGGGGTGGCTAGCAATTTTTTAGGAATGGCTATGGCCACCCCTGGCCACCCCTTGGAGGTGCCACTGCTCATTTCATTATGGAGTGTTTGTATAATTTTGAAGTACAATGAGTTGAATGGTTTTACAATAAGTATTTGCAAAAAGTGATGAGATGCGAGCGCTTTCCAGATACACTGTAAACATGGATTTGATTACCTTCCAGGGAAGATTATTCTGAGAACTGTCACAGCATACAGGACAGCTCCAAACAGGACCAAAAAACATCCCACCAATCCTAGAAATATTGGAGGCCCTAAGTAATATCTGAAAAACAAAATTAAAAATGAAGAAAAGACAGAAACTTTATATGCTATTAACTGTATAAAAAAGGAAGATACCGTAGGACTCCTGGTCCAACCCTGGCAGCCAAAGCAGTTCTGACAATCCTGTTGATGTATAAGCAGTAAGCAGAAAGGTCCGATATGCCTGTGAGCAAAAGTTCCATCAAAACCAAATAATGAATGAGGGTCAAAACATTTCTGTCAGAGAAAAAGATCAAATGCCTCAAGCTCCATACTCACATCCAACAAAATGTAACACCGCTCCAGAAAAGACCAGCTTGTCTTTGATTTGATCTGTTCCTCCTAGGTAAGTGCAGTCCATCCCAATGAAACAGCAGAGCACGGCGCAGAACCCAAGAGACAACCCGCACATTAGCAGTCCTCTCACGGCCTGGACGTAATCTGTGAGGAAACAAAGAGCTCGGGTAGAAAAAGAAAAGAAAATACTACGAAGGCTGTGGGATTCTTTCAGACTGAGTTGACACCAAAAGTACAATTACTATGGAATGAGACGTCATCTCACAAATACAAATAAAATTGCTTTGTTTTCATCATGATATTAAAACTTTTGGCCTTTTGATCATTTTTAGTAAATCACAAGACAATTGAATGGGTTAAATCAACAAATGTTTAGGAACAAGGACGGCAGTAGCTCAGGAGGTAGAGCGGGCTGTCCAGTAACTGGAAGGTTGTTGGTTTTATCCCAGCTCCAGAATGCTGCTGTTGTGTCCTTGGGCAAGACACTTAACCCTTTCCTACTGGTGGTGGTCAGGGGGGCTGGATGTGCCTGTGTTCGGCAACCTCGCTTCCGTCAGGGCGCCCCATGGCAGCTGTGGCTACATCGTAGCTCATCACCAGTGTTTGAATCTGTGTGTGAATGGGTGAATGACTGATTGTGTTGTAAGGCGCCTTGGGGGGTTGTAGAACCCTAAGAAGGTGCTATACAAATACAGGCCGTTTACCATTTAACAAAAGTAAAAATCTGGATTTCAGCTCATTTTTTATACAGGTGTTACAAAAATACTATGTAAGTGACTTTTGTACAAAACAAGATTAATTTATTTTACCTCAACTCTATAGATGATGGTAATATTGAGTAAACAGATGTAATAGTGTAGTGTTTATGTTGCTGTTTTCAATCCTTCACAAATGAGGTTATTTTGTGTAAACGTCATGTTACCAATACAAATATAGTCTCTCTGGAAATTATTCAGAATGCATAACTTTTTCCACATTTTGTTATAATACAGCTTCATTAAAAAATTATTTAATATTTTCCCTCTCAAAGTTATCTCTAATTACTAATGGGAAACACACACACACACACACACACACACACACACACACACACACACACATTTATATATATACATATATATATTTTTTGCACATTTATTAAAAATAAAAAAAAGTATTCACAGGCATTGAAGCTCAGAATCTTCCTGTTTCCACTGATCATGCTTGAGATGGAAACCCATCTGGAGTTTGCCAAGAGGAACCAGAAGGACTCTTAGGCCGTGAGAAAGAATTCTCTGGTCTGGTGAGACAAAAATGGAGCTCCTTGGTGTGAATGCCAAGCATCAGGTTTGAGGAAACCAAGGCCAATACCATCCATGGTGGTGGCAGCTTCATGGGGATGTTTTTCACCAGTAGGAACTGGGAAACTGGTCAAAATAGAAGTAAAGATAAATGCAGCAACGCATAGAGATGCTGGATAAAAACTGCTCCAGAGCATTGACGTCAGACTGGGGCGATGGTTCATCTTTCAGAAGGACAATGACCCTAAGCACACAGCCAACATGTCAACAGAGTGTCGTCGTCATCATCTTCCTCCGCTTATCCGGGTCCGGGTCGCAAGGGGCAGCATCCCAACTAGGGAGCTCCAGACCATCCTCTCCCTAGCCACCTCCACCAGCTCCTCCGGCAGGACCCCAAGGAGTTCCCGGACCAGATTGGAGATGTAACCTCTCCAACGTGTCCTGGGTCGACTCGGGGGCCTCCTGCCGGCAGGACATCCTGACCAGATGCCCGAACCACCTCAACTGACTCCTTTCAATCCAGAAGAGCAGCGGTTCTACTCCGAGTCCCTCCCGAATGTCTGAGCTCCTCACCCTATCTCTAAGGCTGAGCCCGGCCACCCTACGGAGGAAACTCATTTCGGCCGCTTGCATCGGTGATCTCGTTCTTTCGGTCATTACCCAAAGCTCGTGACCATAGGTAAGGATTGGGACGTAGATTGACTGGTAAATTGAGAGTCTGGCTTTCTGGCTCAGCTCCCTCTTCACCACGACAGATCGGATCAACGTCCACAGCACTGCAGACGCCGAACCAATCCGCCTGTCGATCTCCCGATCCCTCCTACTCTCACTCGTGAACAAGACCCCAAGATACTTAAACTCCTCCACTTGAGGTAGGACCTCACTCCCGACCCTGAGTTGGCAAGCCACCCTTTTCCAGTCGAGAACCAGTGTCTCAGATTTGGAGGTGCTGATCCTCATCCCAGCCGTGCCACACTTGGCCGCGAACCTACCCAGCATGAGCTGAAGGTCAGAGCTGGATGAAGCTAGGAGCAAAAAGCAAAAAGCAAAGACGAGATTCTCCTGCCACCAAACTCGACACACTCCACACCACGGCTGCGCCTAGAAATTCTGTCCATAAAGGTAATGAACAGAACCAGTGACAAAGGGCAGCCCTGGCGGAGTCCAACCTTCACCGGGAACAGGTCCGACTTACTACCGGCTATGAGGACCAAACTCACTCTCTTCTGGTAAAGGGACTGAATGGCCCTTAACAGAAAGCTACTCACCCCATACTCCTGGAGCATCCCTCCTAGGGTGCCCCTGGGGACACGGTCATAAGCCTTCTCCAAATCCACAAAACACATGTGGATTGGTTGGGTAAACTCCCGTGCCCCCTCCATCACCCTTGCAAGGGTATAGAGTTGGTCCACAGTTCCACGGCCAGGACGAAAACCACATTGCTCCTCCTCAATCTGAGATTCAACTATCGATGGGACCCTCCTCTCCAGTACCTTGGAGTGGATCTTTCCAGGGAGGCTAAGGAGTGTGATCCCCCTATAGTTGGAACACACCCTCAGGTCACCCTTCTTAAAGATGGGGACCACCACCCCAGTCTGCCACTCCACAGGAACTGCCCCCTGATGACCACGCAATGTTGCAGAGACGTGTCAACCACGACAGCCCTACAACATCCATAGCCTTGAGATACCCAGGACGAATCTCATCCACCGCTGGGGCTCCGCTGCTGTGTAGTTGTTTGAATACCTCAGCAACTTCTGCCCCCAAGATTGGACAGTCCATCCCCAGGTCTCCCGGCTCTGGTTCCTCCTCGGAATGCGCAAAGGTGGGATTGAGGAGCTCCTCAAAGTATTCCTACCACCATCCGACTATAGCCCCAGTTGATGTCAGCAGCTCCCTTTCCCCACTGTAAACAGTGTGAGTGAGTTGCTGCCTTCCTCTCCTGAGGTGCCAGGCAGTTTGCCAGAACCTCTTTGGAGCCGATCGATAGTCATTCTCCATGGCCTCACCAAACTCCTCCCACGCCCGAGATTTTGCCTCGGCAACTGCCACTGCTGCACCTCGCTTGGCTATCCGGTACCTGTCCACTCCTCCAGAGACCCACGGACCAGCCACGCCCTGTAGGCCTCCTTCTTCAGCCTGACAGCTCCTCAAACCTCTGGTGTCCACCAGCGGGTACGGGGGTTGCCACCATGACTGGAAACGGCCACCTTGCGACCACAGCAAGCAACAGCCGCCTCAACAATCGCAGAGTGGAACAAGGCCCACTCGGAGTCAATGCCCCCCACTGCTCTCGGGACGTGGTCAAAGATCTGCTGGAGGTGGGAGTTGAAGACCGTCTTGACAGGTTCTTCTGCCAGGCATTCCCAGCAGACCCTCACTATGCGTTTGGGTCTGCCAGGTCTACGCGGCATCTTCCCCTGCCATCTGATCCAACTCACCATCAGGTGGTGATCAGTTGACAGCTCCGCTCCTCTCTTCACCCTGGTGTCCAAAACATACGGCCGCAGGTCAGATGATATGACTAAAAAGTTTATCATCGACCTGCGACCAAGGCTGCCCTGGTACCGTGTACCGATGGGCATCCTTATGTTCGAACATGGTGTTCGTTATGGCCAGACTGCGGCTTGCACAGAAGTCCAATAACAAAACACCACTTGAGTTCAGATCAGGCGGTTCCTCCCAATCACACCCCTCCAGGTCATGCTGTCATTGCCCACGTGAGCATTGAAGTCCCCCAGCAGGACAATGGAGTCCTCTGATGGAGCACTATCTAGCACTCGTCCGAGGGACTCCAAAAAGGGTGGGTACTCTGAACTGATATTTGGCCCATAAGCACAAACAACAGTCAGGACCCATTCCCCGACCCGAAGGTGCAGGGAAGCTACCCTCTCATCCCCCGGGGTAAACCCCAACACATGGGCAGAGAGTCTTGGGGCTAGCAAAAAGCCAACCCCAGCCCTCCGCCTCTCACACGGAGCAACTCCAGCAAAGGAGAGTGTCCAACCCCTCTCAAGGACTTGGGTTCCAGCTGTGTCGAGGTGAGTCCAACTATACCTAGCCGGTACTGCTCAACCTCTGCCACAAGCTCCTGCTCCTTCCCCACCAGCGAGGTGACGTTCCATGTCCCAAAAACCAGTTTCCTTGTCTGGGGATCGGACCGCCAAGGCTCCCGCCTCGGTCTGCCACCTGATCCACACTGCACCGGACCCTTCATGTTCCTCCTGCGGGTGGTGGGTCCACAGTTGGATGAGCCCAAGTATCCGGTTCGGGCTGTGCCTGGCCGGGCCCCATGGGCGAAAGCCCAGCCACCAGGCCCCAACCCCAGGCCTGGCTCCAGGGTGGGACCCCGGTAACCCTCCGGGCCGGGTACTCCGACTCTTCGATTGTACATCCATGAAAGATCCTCTGAACCGTTCTTTGTCTCATCCTTCACCTAAGACCAATTTGTCATGGGAGACCCTACCAGGGGCACAAAGTGCCCCAGACAACCTAGCTCCTAGGATCATTAGGGCACTCAAACTCCTCCACCACGATAAGGTGACGGTTCAAGGAGGAGGTCAACAAAGTGTCTATAGGACAACTCTTTGAACATCCTGGAGTGGCCCAGCCAGAACTGACGTGACTCCGACTGAACATCTATGGAGAGAGTCCCATCTAACCTGATGGAGCTTGAGAGGTGCTGCAAAGAGAATTGGGCCATAAAACCAGGCGTGCAGGCTTGTGGCTTCGTATTCAAAAAGACACGAGGTTGTAATCGCTAAAGGATCCTCAACAAAGTACTGAGCACAGGCTGAATACTTCTGTACATATAATTTATCAATTTTTTTTAAATCTTTAATGCATTTGTAAAATCTCTCTCCTGTGTTTTTATGGGGTGTTTGTTTATTTTGAGAGAAAAACAATCTGTTTTGAAAAAATGTTAAATGGCCTGTATTTGTTTAGCACCTTCTTAGGGTTCTACAACCCCCCAAGGCGCTTCACAACACAATCACCCATTCACATGCTGGTGGGGATGAGCTACAATGTAGCCGCAGCTGCCCTGGGGTGCAGTGATGGAAGCGAGACTGCCGAACCCAGGCACCACCGGTAGCCCTGACCACCACCAGCAGGCATGGCCGGTTCAGTGTCTTGCCCAAGGACACAACAGCAGCATTCACTGGCGGGAGCCGGGACTGAACCTACAAACCTTCCAGTTACTGGACAACCTGCTCAACCTCCTGAGCTACTGCTTTAACATAAACTGTGGATCAGGTATTTTCTGGATGCACCGTCACAGCAGCTGCATAATGCAGGTTACAACAAGACAGGAAGGATTATAAAACCAGTAAATTGCAGTGATGCTTAAGTGAACACATTTTAGCTCCTGGAAACATGAAAGCAACTCTAAATTAGATGCTAGAGCAAACATAAACAACAATGATCCAAGAGCCTAGCTGACTACTACAAATTATTCAGAACAGGCTTCATTATGGTTTGGACCTTACAGCTGACGTTCCAGAGGACCGGGTAATCCCTGCAGTTGGTGACTGCTGTAGAATCAGTGTAGCAGTCCTTCCACAGGTTGGACCAGTACCAGGCCACCTTGATAACGTTAGAACCACCTTGCCCTCCTAATTGGCTGGTCCTCCAGTAGTCCATCGCCAAGGTGCACAGCACAAACAGCCATCCCAATGAGGAGACCAAGAAGCCGAGTATTTGGATCAAGCGCTTCTGCATTGCTGGAAATACGGACATCTGCTTATGGAGGATGGTGGAATAACGCTTTAATGGAACATTGGAACGTTGTGCACAATGTTTACAGTAAACTGTGGGGAATATGTCACTTGTTTTGGGACACTTTACACCACCACAAGCTACAAATTAACCTTGTGTTATTACAATTTTAGAAAAGTCCCTTTAAAATGCACATTCTGGTTTGAAAGGTGCAGTCCGAGATGTTTCTCGGGAACATTATTTGCCATATTTCTTGAAATGCTCTTAATATACCAATGGTAGCCAATATGTTTTCTTCTTCTCTCTTTATTTTGGTTGTCACGTCAACAGAAAGAAAGTTTCAAACAACAACGATAACATCATAAAGTACATCCCAAAAAGGAATAGGCAGAAGCAGGGCATATTTTAGCCTACCTTATTATCCATCTATTTTATGTAAATGTATGCTATTTATTTCTTTTTCAATTTACTATATAAAATGACAATATCTCACTTTTTGCCAACAAAAGAAAAAATAATTTATTTACACATACTTTTCATAATAATTAAGTATCTAACATCATTTTTATCAAAAACTAATAATTTTAAAGTTGCAATAGAAAATAGTGATGACCAGTATAACAAACAAATCAACCATCAATTATCATGACTTTTCTGTAATAATGCTGTATCAGATTCTTTACTCTTCCTTATTAGTTGTTATTCAGAGATGAGCTCTCATTCATTTATTCTCATTAACAGGAAGCAGACAAAGAAACAGCCAGAAAAACATTTTTCCTAGAAAATAAAACATTTTATTGTTATGTACAAAAGACAAGTGGCATCTTTGAATCCATAGGTACATTTTTAAGCAGATGTTTTTGATCGTGCTGCTGAAAAATCTGTGATGCAGAGCAGGATGAGTTTATGGTATAAACCGTATCAGGACACTTAATTCTTTCTCCCTTAAGGAAATATGTAAACGTTTTAAATCTTACTCCTGCTGCAAATCAGGATCAGTGCAGTTGTTGGAGTGAAACCACCGTAGGAGCTGCATCTTTTATTTTTTCCCTTTCTCCATAAAACTTTCAAGATCCACCGCCAGCTTTGACTTAGAGAGATTTGCATTCACATCCCTCACACATATACGTTCTTATCAAAGTGTGGCGTCTTGGAGGAGCTGCTGTAACCTGCAGGCGGCCTCTCGTTTGCAGGCGCCACCACCCCTCTCATGTAGGAGGAGATATGGGAATGGGAGGCTGCAGATCTGTAGACGGAGTTCACCTGATTGTGCCTGTAAGGAAGGAAAACACAGCTTTAACTTTGTACACAGAGCGATCCCAGAAAGTGACTTAATAAAAGAGAATTAGCTGCTTTTGTTAACCTTTTAGACAAGGAATCTGTGATTGAGAAGCAGAATATGCTCCCGCCCACAATGCAGAGAACTGAACCCGCCCAGCCGATGAACAGAGCAGCTCCGAGCTCGTACCTGTGATCACACAAAAATAAACCAGAAGGATATCCCCAAACGGATGAATTTACTCAGATTTAAGTTAAAATCCTCACTTTTGAGCCACAAACATCGGATCAAAGAACTCTGATGTGATACGATGAGCGTAGAGGGAACAAGCAGAGAGTGAGCAGAGGCCTATAAGTCAGGAAATGCATAAAAAACAAATAAAAACATGGCATCTCATGCATCATCACAAGACGTTGATCAGTTTTTAAGACTCAGTGTTGTGAATGACTCAGCCACTACCACATCTCACCTCATCTGTAACAGTTGATGAGTTATTGGAGCATTTGAGAGGATAGACCCCGACAGGTGCTTTATTCAGACTCACCACTTAAAATGAAATCTACACCAGCAAAGCAGGCAATCTTGGCTTTGTTTTTATCACTTCCACCAATTTTTGTACATTTCATCCCCACGAGGGCAAACGCCGAACCGAAGGAACCCAAACAGACAGCCGCGATCATCAGTCCTCTGCATGCCTGGATGTAACCTGCAGAGCAACAACACACTTCTGTCCTCATCTGGTGGTTTTCATCATCACATCTGCAAACAGCAAGGTCGATGAGTAACCGACCTTTTGACCCCCTCACACCTAAAGCAAGTAATTCAATTTGTCACAAGTAAGCTTAACTGTTTTCAGTCACCTATGTGGGTTTTGCTGTGTTGGAATGAAGCGTGTCAATCAAACATGATGCTGAGGCAAATATTAGCTTTGGAAGTTAACCTCTGAAATCAGCCTTGCATGGTCAAAACTGCCCGAGGTTCCTAAATCTCTTTTGTAGCTTCCAAGCTGCAGGAACAAAAGCTAAACGTTGACATTTTTTTTAAGTGAATGAGAGTTTAATCATCAGATTTCATCTGGGCTTTTGAGGCCCGTCAGAAAATTAACGTAAAGACGAGAAAACAAAAAAATACAATAAGGTTTAAAAAGTTTTAGAATAAAAAAAAAAGTCTTTCAATGTTATAAATTAAATGGAACATGTGAATAAAGTTAAAGTTAAAGTTAATAAATAAGGTTATGATCAAAGATGTATCATTTATTTGAATAAAAGCAACAATAACAAGAAGATCGGACCGTCCAGAGCCAGCATCGAGGGGAAGTCTTTGCAGTTGGAGACTCCGGTTGAGTCGGTGACGCAGGTCTTCCATAGATTGGACCAGTAGGTAGCCGTGGTGATCACCGTTCCATCGAGCGATGAGACCTTCCAGTAGTCGGTCGGCAGGGTGGAGGACACCAACACCCAGCCCGACGTGGTCAAAACAAAGGCCGCAATCTCCTGAAACATGCTGCTCAGAGCGAGTCCGGAGGATCGGTGCGATTGATAGTTAATGTGTGGTGGACGGTTATATTCTGCAGGGAGGAGTTTGGGCCTGATCAGCAAGTGGCCAATAATCTGATGAAACATTTTCCAGCCCCCCTTACAATGAGCATGTCACTGGGACTCAGAGACGCTCAAAAATAAGAACATTGTTCATCTTTGCATAACTTCATTGAGTTTTAATCAGCAAATTTGAGGTTGTGTTCAATTATTTTTTTAATAAATCTGATTTAAAAAGAGTTGCTTTGCTGTGGGATTTGTAAATATAATGTTTAATCTTCGTTTCAGGCTTAAAACAACAGGCTGTAGATGAAATATTGACCAAATGCATCACAATTCCCGGTGATTTTAGAGAAAAAATAATCAGAAATATCCTAAATCTATATTTCACAATGAGCCTCATGTTGTTGTCAGCCATCAGCTGGAGCCAAGATCTTCCCACTGAGGTCTTCTACCCGTGAGGTTCTTTTAGACCTTTATAATTATTTTCTACACTTGGTAACAATTTAGAATGAAAGTCTATTTATTATTGTTAATTGTTGCATTATTAAGCATTAATAAACAAATATCCCTTATTAACCCTTTGATGCATAATGGTCACTACAGTGGACAGGTACTCAAAATAGTTATTTATTTGTTTTTGCTATTAAGCACAGCTGTTGAGGACTTTATTGCATTTGAGCCCCTCCATTTGGACTTCGGTAAGCCAAGCCAACATATTTCATGCTCAGAATACACGCTGTCCACTGAGGTGGACATGTAATAAATTATTTGTAAATTATAAAATTTTACAAAAAATATTTGTTGAAATTTGTTTCATTCACACCTAAAGATGAATGAAAAAATTGTTAAAAAAAATCATAGTCGAAGATTTCATCATTCATGCATCAAAGGGTTAATGTTCCTTGTATTGTTAACTATTAAGTGTTAATTAATGCACTGAGTAATGTTAATAAAGGGACCCTTATTGTGAAGCGTTACTCTCTACTCAGACTCCACAGAAACAGTTAAATATCTAAGAATTCACATTTCTCACCGTTTAAACAAGTAGCCTAAATAAATAAGTTAATAAAGCTTGAATAATTATCTGCCCCTTTTTTGAGCACATTTTAATTTATTTGCCAAAAACCTTACATCAGATTAACTACAGTTCTAGGTAAATTATGGAGATTCTCATGCAAGCTAAGTTGGATTAGATTTTTGAATAATGTGGGAAATGCATAATAATAATAACAATAATAATAATAATAATAATAATAATAATAATAATAATAATAATAATAATAATAATAATAATAATAATTATTATTATTATGCATAATGGAAGTAAATAATGTGTGTAACTAAAGAAAAACCACACACATTACTTTATACAAACCAAATACATCACATTTATCATGCAACTAAAAGCTTTTTTTCAATGATGTTTTAGCATCTCTATAAATAAAATAGAATTTAAAAACAAGTTTGAGGGGAAAAAGGCAACACATTTAAAAAAATAGACATCTGCACACAATGCCTCGTGCATTTAATAGAAACATGAATATATTTGACAAAGCGTTTAACAATGCTTTTTTTTTGGATGAATAAAAGTTGATAACAGACATTAGTGAGAATCTGTTTGCAGCAGCGGAGCACAGAGATCCTCTGATCTTACCTTCCAGCTGGAACATGGTGTGATGCGGTCGGCAGTGTAGAGCTCCGATGGCGTTCCCAGCACAGTTGTTCCACAGACCCTGCAGCACCCAGGTGGCTGTGATGACTGAGGATGCCCGACTCGTGGCCCTCCACTCATTGGACACTGTGGCAGCGATGGTGGCACCAAGTCCTGAAAGGCCACTCATCAAAGCCAGAATCTGCCAGCCTGTCATCTGATGCTGCGGGGTACGTTTGCAGGCTTTTGGTAGATCCAAGATGGACAAAGAAATAAAACATCTAGAGGCAACACAATTACACTGAGAACATGTGTTTCACTGATGATTAACAGACTAGACATGCTACCTGCTCAGATGTGGGGGTGGGGGGCTCAAAGTGAAACAGTAAGAGAAGGATGAGCTGGACGTTAGATATTAAATCAGGAAGGAGATGGAGCTCCATGTGTGCGTCCATGCTGTTGCTCAGACATGATGTCAAAAATAATAAAGAAGTAATCATTACAGAGGAAAAACAACGTCCAGTTACTGGTTCACCTATTGTCCACAGGAACTGAAACACTAATGATTGTCAGCTCATGTGTGGACACGTATCATACTAGTCATGTTACAGGTTCTCGTTTCAGTGAAGCCTCGTAACACGTATTTACTTACTTATGTCCACCTTTATAAAGATTTCTGAAATAGACCTTTAATTAATGATCTGATTCTAACAGTTTAACATGTCACAAGAGCATTTTAAAGTTTTAATGGTTTTGGTAAAACTATAAGGTGATTCACCTTCTTTGCTGCTACACAGAGATGTCCTCAAGATTTGTAAACATCCCTTTTCTTATATCTAAGGTCAGGTGAGGGAAGGGATTTAGGAGGGAAACCCAGAGATCCCTCATAGCTTCTCGGATTCGCATGGTGCTCCAGAAAGGATCCATAATCTATCCAGGCATCTTTATCAGATCCCCCAAACCACCTTAACTGACTCTTTTAGAGGCAGAGCAGCCGAACAAACAGAACCACATCTTCTGCTAAAGGTAGAGATAGGACCCAGAGTTCTCCAGATCAGACACCCTACTGATTTATATTTTTACATTAATGCTGGTGACTGTGGTCTGGATGCTGCATGGAGACATCTCTTTGCAGCCTTGTTGCCGAAATCATAGCGTTTCATTGTGTTTTCACCCATTTGCCTCCAGATATTTTGCATTGGAGAGAGCTGGCTCTCTCTGGGGTGTCCCACAGGGGCCTATTGTTGGCCCTCTCCTGTTTTCTATTGTTTTTTGCTATGGGAGCACACTTTTGAAAACGTTGGGTCAGCTTTAATTTTCATGCAGGTTTATTTTCCTGTTGAGTCTGCCACAAATGAACAGTTAGAATAGAAGAGTATAGAAAACCTCTTTATTGTCCCTCAGTGGAGAAATGATGTTGTCACAGCTGCAGTTACATTCACATCAGGAGCAAAAAGGAGACATAACACAGAAATGCTTTCAGGATTCAAAAATCTAAATATTGGATACACATTTTAAGAAATATAAAATGATGTGAGGAAATAGATAGCAGAGTATTTACAGGGAATGAATGAGTGCATGACAACTGAAACAGTGTAAATAAATGAATGAGGAAATAAATAAATGCTTTTCTAAAACATATCTTTATTTTCTTTTGTCCACGTTTATTTCTTCATATTTTATTTTCTCATTTATTTATTATCTATTATAGCAAGAAGAGTTCTCCCCAGAAGGGTAGAGAGGCAGGACTCAACAATAACAATAAATGACTACACATGTTTAGCATCTTTTTAGCCACTAGAGGGCAGCAGAAGCTCACATTTCCCTGCTGTTTCCTGCTGCCTGATGTTTTTGGATGACTGATACTGACTGACACCATGGTTCCTGTGTTTAGGTAGGAAGGAACACTGTTTAAAAGGAAAACTCAGCTTGCCTTCGAATTTGAAACATTTCCTGACGGGCTCTCGTTTTCTGATCCTGGTTCTCATGTTGCTCAGTGGTCTGACGCATGTAAGTTACAGTTTTTTAATCATCAGTTTAAAAAGGTTTTAACCCTCTGGAGGCAGGCGTTGCAGATTTGCTACGTTAAAACCTACCTACCTGGTTACTCCACATACGTATTTCATGAGCATTTTTTAACTCAGAAGTACCGCTGAAGGACTTAGTTGTTCGTCCTTTTATCAAAACTTATTTTGAGCCTGAGAGGGTTAACCCAAATGAGTAAATTAATTAGATAATCAGAAATGTGATGGGGGTTTGCTGCTGATTTGTTTATACAAAGATGTGTGTAGGCTTCACGCTGGTGGGATGCTGCTTCTTTATGGTCTTTGTAAAGACAAAAATGGATACATGTGAATAAAAAAAGTGTTTTGTAAGGTAATCAACATTTTTTTGGGTCTGGAAGTGGTGAATGAGTTTGTAGAAGATGACTGAACAGTTTGTTATTCTTTTCCTGGCCTCGTGCTTGTCCACATCTCTTCCTTGCTGTGTTTCTGCTTTTCTTCTGGACCTTTGTGTCTTTCTCTGGCTGACTCTTAAGGCCTCTGAACAGAAGCACACGAGTGTGACAGAGCTCTTCAGTGGCAGCTGTACCTTGACCTGCACCTTGATGTTCACGCAGGTGAAGATCACCGAGCACTCGTTGCTCTTTGTGTACCTCCGAGGCTGTGAAAGCGGCAGCCATTCACTGAGCAGATCTGCAGTTCTTTGGCTGTGGCCCAAGGCCTTCAAGGCCCGATGTGTGCGTGCGCGGGTCTCAGCTGTACGACGAGATAGCAGCGCCTCTCTTGTTCTCTGCTGCTGGATTCCTCTGTCTGTCGTGACTCCCAGCCTCTTCACTCTTTCAGGCTTTGTATTCACAGCAATAAAACAGCTTTCAAGAGGGGAAAAAGCATACTCAGAGAGAAAAATAAAGCCATAATCATGTCGACTTAAACGCAGAGCTGATCGTGAAACAGGCGCTCAGAGAGAACAGGAGATGCTTTCTCTACTGATCATTTTGTCACCCTTCTCTAATCCTGGACAAGATCATGTTTTGAACACATCATCCGGACATCAGATAAATAAATCCCTCATTTATCGATGTTTCGGGAATTAAAAAGAGCCACGAGATAACAGCGTGCAAACAATTAAACCTATGGCTGTCACGCATCACCACTAGAGAGCAGGCTGCAACCTTATTTGTTAAATTGTGTTCAGTTACATTAATACATCTAAGTTTGAATATTCTTTTTTTCTTATCTGATCTGTTATTCTCACTATAATAAAATCCTACCTTTAAGTAAATGATTAGTGAAGATTATAAAGAGCAAAGTTATTTGTCATTTTTTGGGAAATAAATTTGTATTTGTAAATCAGAGGACGTCAGTTGAGTCCAGATTCTTGTGATCATATTTAATACCGCGAGTACTTTTAAGATGTTAAAAATGTGCAGAAAAACCCGTTTCATTGTGAGGCTTCATAGAAAAAGCAAACATCAGATTGAGTGAACGCTGTTTGCAGAGCAGCAGTCGCTTGTTTGGACTTCCTGTCTGTGCAAATAAGGGTGCATTTGTCTTGTGCACTGTATCAGAAACTTTGATAATTTTATTATATTTGCACGCTGTAGCTTCTGGTTCAGTGATGTGTGCAAAGTGAGCAAACAGGCTAAATATGTTCATCTTTACACAAGAAGATGGATAACTTTGCAACATCTCGTGCATTTTTAACAAACCTTAAAATCTAATTTTTAGCATCTTGTTGCATTAATTCAAGACTTTTAATTAGGTTTTAAAAAATTACAATCCAAAGTCAAATATCAAGCAAGCCCACTTTGATAACTTCAATTTTTCTGCAGCATTGTTCACCCGTCAGGAGATAATTACACAGCCTAATCTCCTCACAGTGACACGAGTGTACGGCACAATCAGCCCGGGTGGGAATTCTCAGCAACTGGTTTCTGTGTAATGAGTCATAATAAGCCCGTAACACGACTCTAAATATTATTAGGGTGGGTGTTCAGGAGCTCGTGGCTTCGACGGGCTTTAGAGCTGGGTTGTATGGTGAGAAAGCAGAAAACTCCACATTGGTTAAATCCCTGGCTTTTGTTTTTACCACCGCCGTTTGCATTGCATGCCGAGCTACCTGACTGCTTATCAGGGCGTGCCTCGCCTGGTGATCCGCACACACAAAAGAGAGCAAACACTTTGGATAATGTAATAATCTGTTTAATAGAGCAGCGAAGGAGAGGCTTAACAGATGCTGCTATCTGATTGCTGTTGTGCAGCAATCAGTAACTGCGGGACAAGTCCAGTTATTAAAGCCTTGGCCTCCAAAGTGCACCATGTTGGACTGGATCAGTTTGCTTTGCCAAAACGTTGCTTTTAAATGCAGGTTTTAAAGTATTTTAGTATTAAAAATGACATTTATTATTATATAGTTTTTTATTATGTGAAATGCTAATATACAAAGAAAAATCTCATATTTGTAGTGTTCCTGTTATTTTCTTTCCTCCTTTTGAGGAAGTAAGGGTTAGGTTTTCTTTATTCACTCATTCAGATCCTCACAGTAAACTGGAATCATTTCGTGTGTAACGTTTTCACACACGTGATTTGTTTCCAAGGAGGAAAAAGTTGCACGTTTCAGAGGTCACTTTTACCGAAAAGAACATTTTCTGGTTTTGGCTTATAGCAGCACCACACACTCATGCACACTCAATTTCATGTGAATTTCTGCTACTTTAAACGTGCATTTTGCTCAGTTTTAGTTGTACGTTCGGTTTCATTTAAACGTGATCCCGTTAGAGCAGCGCAGACGCCGGTGATCGTGTCAAGCTAATGTTGATCCCTGTAATTTAGTGTCATTGAGTGGGCTAATCCCCTCAGACTGCAGGCCAGGGCTTCAGCTCATCAGCACAGTCAAGAAGTGGAATTTCAGTCAACACACACACACACACCCTTATTGTTTGTGGGCCATCTCAGCGCTGGGCGTCGATCGGCTGCTGTTGAGGCATCAGATCTTCTGTGGTCAGCGCTGTGGGATTCTAATTGTGTCTGCAGAGGCGAGTGTTTTTAATGTCTGTATTTCAGGTCTGCAGTGCAAGAGCTTCGAGAGTGAAGTGAAGAAGTGCTGCAGAGAGGACGATGATATCGAAGTGTGTAAATTGAATGTGAAGATGGAGCGGCGCGTGTGTGCAGCATGGCTGATAGGGCTCCCCCTCGCTCGGCACTTCCACTATTTAATTGCATGAAAGGGAAGGAGAGGAGATTGCAGGAGGCTGGCGGTGCGAGCGAAGAGAATGGATTTAGAATGTATTAGTATTGGCAGCAAGGCGCCGGCGGTGGGAGGCTGCCCCAGGCCTCCGGGCCCCTTCATGCAAACGCAGGTGAGCTGTGCCACCTCCAGCCCTGGCAGCCCCCTCCCTGGTATTACTTTATTATCACGCTCTCCTCACTGAAAGGCCCCTCCGACTGCACCGGGGCCCACACATGGAGCGGCTCTGAGTCCTCCCCTTATCTTGATGTTTACAGGGAACAGCGATTTGCCACACGCCCTGCTCTAGCTGGACCCCACTGTTCCACTTCTCCCCCTGCTTCACCTAATATCTCCACCTTTAGAAGGCCACCTTAGTCGGGAGCGCTTGATATTTCCTGAGCCTGAAAAGTGGTGCAAATCACCCCTGGAGTCCTGAAGCATGAGAAATTGTTTGATACTAATGCTGCTGATATCCTGAAATGTCTATACCCCCTTTTATACAAAAGGTGATATTGTTGACAGCCACCCAGAGTGATTGAAGCCATTGTCCCACGCTGATCTTACCTCACAGGCATCTCAGTGCACTGGAGGTCTTTGTGTAACTGCATCACTGTAATGTATCCTCTATATTCTGGACAGAAGGACGAGGATCTTTACTTCATCTCCAGTACAACTCTGTTAACCGAGCTGCTTGTTAAACAGCTGATAGCCGACTGATGCTGCCTGCTCCAACACCCTCCAACCACTGGATGATGTAACCAGGAGAAACCGATCCTCTTCCTATTGGCATTGTTTGTCAGACACGCTTGGATTTGGGTCATCTATGGCTTAGACAGTAAAATTACATAAAATATT